AAGCAGCCCAACCCCGCACAGCCTAGGGTTCGCAAGATCGGGTGCTACTGCTACTTCCCCGTACAACCCGATACGGCACGCTGCACCCACGCCACCCCATGCTTCCATGTCGCACTCTAACCCCGACCCATACACATCTCCCCCACTTCGAGGTTGCAATCCTATTTCGTCTACTTGACCTCCACCCCTCTCACCACAAATGCAAACTTGTTCAAAACACTGTATAGTAAAAGCGAACCCAAAATTCAGTCTCAATGTCACCCATTCTAGTCAAACCATGACCTAATTAGGCTTGAGCAGGAAAATCCGATCCGTTTTTTTAGGATATCCGATCCGAATTTTTTTTCAGATCGGATATCCGATCCGAAAAATTCGGATATCGGATACCAACTTGGATAGTAAATTTTCAGATTTCGGATATCCGAAAATCCGATAAAATCGGATATCCGAATATCCGATAAAATCGGATATCGGATATCCGAATATCCGATAAAAATCGGATATCCAATATCCGTACCCGATTTGATATCCGAAAATTAAGCTGGGCTTGGCTTTTTGGGCCTAAAATAGTAAAATCTAAAATGTGTAAACTGTAAACCCTAAACCCTCAATCCCTCATACTCATTCTCTCTGTCTCTCGCGCGCCGCTGCACTCTCTCTCTCTCAGTCTGTCTGCCTGACTCGGTGACTCCTCCCTTTCTGCCTCTCTCTGCTCTCATTCTCTCTCGCCGGCCGCCGCCATCTCTCTCTGTCTCTCGCGCGCCGCTGCCCTCTTTACCTCCTTTATTATATCCGGAAATTCAGTCATACTCATTCTCTCTGTCTCTCGCGCGCCGCTACCCCCTCTCTTTCTCTCTCTGCCTGTCTCCTCTCTCATTCCCTCTCGCCGGCCGCCGCACTGCTTGACTGCTTCAAACTAACGCTCGCTCAGGTAAAACTCCATCTGTCTTTACAAATTTCACAACTTCTACTGAAATTAGGGTTTTCTTGAATAGTTGAATGATATCTGAAGTTCTGAATCACCCATTGATTAATTTGTGTATATCTATTGTCTTGCTCTCCAAGTTTCTGATGCTTCATGATTCATAAAAGATGCATTGCATATCTCTGTCACTATGTACAAATTATTTCCCAGTAATACAGAACTAATTATGAGTTACCGTTATTATTATGCAGCATTCATTATAATGCACAAGCTTATTATTTATTTCATATTCCAGTTTTTATCTAGTTTGATTAATATGCAGCTGTTCATGTAGCGGTGTAATTGACTAGAGGTATACATACAACTTCTAAAAATATGACCTGAGAAGTAGTATAATAAAGTTTTACTAGTTTTTGTTAAAAATGAGTAAATTTGTTGTCACAATTTTTTAGAAAATTTGATCTATTTTGTACTAATATAGACATGTAGATTTAATTTGAAGTGGCAAGTTCTTTTTTATGAATGTTCATTTATATTTTAGTACAAGGTCATTCACATGTTAATAGATGATTTATATAAATGCTCTTTCACATATTAACAATAGTTGTCATATATGGTCTTTCACATATTAACATACTCTTATAGTGACAGATTTATGGCGGATATGACAGGGGAGAGTGCTACCCCCTCAAGTGGTTAACCCCTCAAGTGATGATCCATTGACATCCACGGCAAATGCTTCACAACCAAAGCCACAAGATGTACCACCTGATTCGGAGGCACAAATTCCAACCAAGAGAGCGCTTGATGATCTTGGAGCTCCAAAAAAAGGTAAGAAAAGATCTTGGGTTTGGGATCACTTTGTGTCATTCACAAGAGATGGGGATAAGAGGGTTAAATGTAACTATTGTGAAACTGATGTTTGTGGTGACTCAAAGAGTGGTACAAGTGTTATGAAAAATTATATTACAAGGTGCAAAGAATACCCTCCTAACATTGATAAATCACAAAGACTTCTTTCTTTGCAAAGTGAACAAACTGAACAAGTAAGGGAGATGGTAGTGTGGATGACAATATGTCAGGGACATTTGTAAATGGGAGAAAAGGTAGATTAGATCTTTGAAAATTTAAGCAAGATGAATGTAGAAAAGCATTTGCAAAGATGGTCATAATAGATGAGAAACCTTTTAAATGTTGTGAGCATGAGGGTTTTCGCTATTTCATGTCATTTGCACAACCCAACTTTGTTTTCCCCTCTTGTTTTACCGTGGCAAGAGATTGTTATAGTATATATTTAGAGGAAAAAAAGAAGCTAAAAAGTTACTTTTCCAAGTCTTCTTCTCGCATTTGTCTTACTACCGATACTTGGACATCATGTAAAAACTTGAGTTACATGTGTTTGACTGCTCATTTCATAGATGATAATTGGATATTGCATAAAAAAAATTTAACTTTTTGTCTCATTAGCGGTCATTCTGGTGAGGCTATTGGTAAAGGGATAGAAAAATGCTTGCTTGAGTGGGGCATTAGTAGAGTCATGACTATAACAGTGGACAATGCTAGTTCAAATGATGTAGGTATTCAATACATAAGAAGACGACTTCAAAGATGGAAAGATGGGGTTGTGTTGGGGGGAAATTTGTGCATATGCGTTATGCATCTCATATTCTCAATTTGACTGTGAGGGAGGGTTTGAAAGAAAATGATAAGTCAATAAAAAGAATAAGAAATGGGTTAAGGTTTGTTAGATCTTCTCCCGTAAGATTGCAGAAGTTTAAGAATTGTGTCAATCAAGAGCAAATTGAGTCTAAACGTCATCTTTGCTTAGATGTTGAAACTAGGTGGAACTCAACTTACATGATGTTAGAATATGCTTCTATTTTTCGTAAGGCTTTTGATTTGATTGAAACTTCTTATGGTGGTAAATTTAATGAAGAATTGACAAAGTCTAATGGTATTCCAACTGATGATGATTGGGATCGTGTTGCTTCTTTGCTCTCTTTTCTTAAGATATTTTATGATGCTACTTTAAGACTTTCTGGGTCCTTGTATGTTACTTCTAATGTGTATTTGCAAGAACTTGTTACCATTGGATAGATGATAAAGAGAAAGTGTGAAAGTAGTGATCTTGGTGAAAGATTAATGGCCCATGGAATGAAAAGAAAACATGATAAGTATTGGGAAAATGTGAATAATATCAATTTGATGTTGTATGTTGCTGTTGTACTTGATCCAAGGAGAAATATGCAATATGTGAAGTGGGCTATTGATGATAAATATGATTTGGATAAGGGTAAAGAGTTGTATGATAAGATTAGGGATGCGTTGAATTCTTTGTATGAACATTATGCCTCTCAACAAACACAAGGTGGGTCAAGTCCATCCAATATGGTTGATTTGACTACAAGAGACATGGAAAGCTTTGAGGATTGGCATGACATGGCTGAATTTGAATTTGAGAGGGATATAGGAAGTCAAAGTAATCTTGAGAAAAAGAGTGATTTGGATAAGTATCTAAATGATGAAAGAGAACCTAACAGTCTGACACTATTGGAAAGAGCTTTAATGCCTTAGATTGGTGGAAGAATCGTGGGGAAAGATACCCTATTGTAGCTCTTATGGCGAAAGATGTGTTAGCTATTCCTGTATCCACTGTAGCGTCTGAATCTGCATTTAGTATGGGTGGACGAGTACTTGATCCATTTTGCAGCTCACTTTCATCAAATATGGTTGAAGCTTTGATATGTGCTCAAGATTGGTTGCGAAACACTCGTGGCCCTTTAGAAGTTGAAGAAAATCTTGAAGATATTGAGAGAATTGAAGAAGGTATAACATTTTATTAGTTATTATGTTTTTTTTAATTAATTTGCATAATTTAGTTTTAACTTCTAACTAATTTTTTATTCTATATTCTTTTTAAAAATTGTTGTGTAGAGTTATCACCATTTATTGAGCAACCTTCAAGTGGCGTTGTTGATGATTACATGTAACAAGTTGAAGATGAGCTTGAAGATTGGAGATTGGAGCTTGGAGCTTGAATTACATAAGATGAAGTTGTAATTTTTTTTATTTTGTTTTTTGTGGTGTAATTTACTAATTTGGAGTTTGTGGACTTAGTGGCTTGGAGCTTTGTAGAGATTATTTTATGTGTGTTTAATATGTTTTTGTGTGTATAATATTTGGTTAATTGGTTTAGTGGTTTTGGCCCTGCTGCTTTGCTTTTTGCTTGTTACCTATCTTACAGTATTGCTGCTGCTTTGATGTTGTTTGCTGTTATTTGCCTGGGATTATAAGGCTGACCTACTGCTGCTTGGTTGCTCCCTGTTTGCTGCCTGCCCTTCATTGCTGCTTCTTGCTGCTATACTGCTAGGCTGACAGGTTGCCGCCTTTGGTGCTGCTAGTGCCTGCTTTAAAGAGAGATCCTGCTGCTACCTCCTCTGCATGTTGCTGCCTAGTAGCTTGTTACTGTTCCCTGTTGGTGATGTTGCTTCCTTGTTGGGCTTATGTTTTGTTGTTGCTGCTTGCTTGCTACGATTTGCTGCTGCCCATGTGCTGCTACTAAAAGTTGCTGCTTTGCAAGCTGCTGGTTAGTAGGTTCGCTGCTGCATTTATGGTCTTCCATCTAGTGGTGTCTAACAGCTGAAGCTGCACCTTCTATTGCCTGTATTTGGAGCTCTCCTGAATTGTTGCTGCTGCCTTTAATTTATTAATTTGATGTTAATATTAATAAATTTTTTTTAAGGAATGTCAATATTAATAAGATTTTTTTTTTGAAGGAATGTGGATATTAATAATTTAATATATGAATGAAACAGTTTATTATAATAAATGGAAAATATAATATTTAAAAAAATAGGTTTTTAAAATTTCGGATAACGGATAATTGAAGCATCCGATCCGAAAAATTTCAGATATCGAATATCGGATATCCGGAACATTTCGGATCGGATAAGGATATCAAATTTGCAAATTTTCGATTCGGATATCCAATCCGTGATCAGGCCTAGACCCAATCCCTGCTCCCTAAAAATATAATCACAAACAAGCCCTTTCCGACCCAAATTGAACTGCTGCAATGCTTGATAAATATAGTGCTTTAACTGAAACGGGGACATGGGATTTGGTTCCTAAACCTACGGGGGTGAACATTGTCAATTGTATGTGGTTGTTTCGTCATAAATTCAATGCTAAGGATGATCTTGAAAGACACAAAGCTCGTTTAGTTTGTGATGACAGGTCTGAGGTCAAAGGTGTTGACTGTGATGAAACTTTTAGTCCGGTTGTTAAACCGGCTACTATACGCACAATTTTGAGTGTGGGTATGGCTCTTTAGTGGTCTATTCACCAACTTGATGTAAAAAATGTCTTTTTACATGATAATTTGAATGAGTGTGTGTATGTGCATAAACCACCCAGGTTCGTTGACAAGAGGTATCCAGGATATGTTCGCAGACTTCGCAAGGCTCTTTATGGTCTCAAACAAGCCCCAAGAGCTTGGTATCAGCGGTTTGCTAATTATCTTTTGCAGATGGGGTTTGTCATTGCTAAGAGTGACACTTCCTTATTCATTTTCCGACATGGGAACGATACAACATACTTGCTGTTATATGTTGATGATATTGTGTTTGTTACATCTTCAGATTGGTTATGTGAGAATATTATCTCACTTACGTACAGGTTTTCCGATGACTGATTTAGGTCCTCTGAATTATTTTTTGGGCATTATTGTTACTCATACTCCTTCGTATCTGTTTTTATCTCAGCAAAAATATGCGCAGGAAATTTTAGAGCGCGTAGGCATGAGTAGTTGCAAACCTGCGGCGACTCCAGTGGATACTCAATCCAAGCCCAGTGTAGAGTCTGGACCACAGGTTCATGATCCAACACTTTATCGCTGTCTTGCAGGTGCATCACAGTATCTGACTTTTACTCGCCCTAATATAGCTTATGCAATTCAGCAGGTCTGTTTATTCATGCATGATCCTACAGAGGCTCATTATGATGCATTGAAACGCATCCTACAATATATTTAGGGCACCATTGATCACGAGTTACATTTATATCCTTCATCTCCTACAAACTTGATTACTTATATGATGCAGATTGGGGCAAGTGCCCAGACACTCGTTAGTCAACCTCGGGTTATTGTTGCTTTCTAGGGGACAATCTCATTTCCTGGTCTTCTAAGCGTCATCCCACACTTTCTAAATCAAGTGAAGAGACAGAATATAGGGGCGTTGCAAATGTTGTTGCCGAGGCATGTTGGCTTTGTAATCTTCTTTTGGAGTTACATTGTCCTCTTCGACATGCCACTATTGTTTATTTGTGATAATGTCAGTGCAAATTATTTATCTCATAATCCCGTACAACACCAACACACCAAGCACGTCGAAATGGACATTCATTTCGTCTGAGAAAAGGTGGCGTTGGGGCATGTACGGGTCTTATATATTCCATCTCGTTACCAGTTTGCAGAATCTTCACAAGAGGCCTACCTCGACAACTATTTTGGAATCCAGATTCAGTCTTAGCGTACGTCCTCCTCCCGCTATGACTGCGAGATTGTAATAAAATATATGATAAATATTCTTAATATTATTCTGTATAGAAGGATATAGTTTTGTGAATATTTTGTAAATGTCTTTTAAGATTTCCTAATGTGATTAAAACTCATCTTTGTAACCCTATATATATGAATCAATAGAATACACTCGAATCTGAGGATTTCATATTATGTAACACAAAAGTTATATAATCCCTTCGTTTTTTAAAGTACATAGATTCTCTAAATGTGTCTTTTTTTTAAAGCGCATCCATCAGTCATGTATGGGTGTCAACTACTCATAGTTTAGTATGGAGTAAGTAAGTTCAAACATGAACCAACCAATTTTGTCACTAGATCCACTTAAGTTTTCCAAAGCCAACATACCTTAGCTTACCACCATGCCCTGCCCACCACCACATATATAAAACAGTCTATGAAAACATTGTAAAATTTCATCTAATGGGCCAACTTCACCTAAGTTTATTGAAACTATTACATGAAGACTTGAAGTAGTAGTTCAAAACACAATACATCATATATGATATATAGATTTATACTTAATTTTATAGCTAAAGCTAAAGATATACAACATCAAATTAATCTTTAAAGCTTGCTAGAGATGTTGATGGTTCGAACTTTAGAAGGCTTAGGATTATTATCCTTAGGAACAACGATAGTTAACACACCATTTTCCACCTGAGCTTTAATCTGATCCACTTTAGCATTTTCCGGTAGCTCAATTTGCCGGTAGAAGTTCCCCTTACCACCTCTTTCGGCTACATGCCATACGATATCTTTGCCCTGTGACTCCTCTTTTCCTCCTTCCCCTTTTATGTGGAGAACATTCTCTTCATCTACCTCCAATTTTACGTTATCCTTATTGTATCCTGCTCATTATGGACTTACTCATATCAATATGCATTTTGATAGCTTTTGAATGGAATATGGACAAGAAATTCTAAAAACATAATAATGCATATAATATGACATTTTCGTAATTTTGTGAAAACAAATCCCAAAATGCCCAAAATTGCAATAAAAATGTTATAATTCGTCCAATATAACCACTGATCCCCTTGTGTTTTCTAAAATTACAAGGGAAATAAAGTATATATATATATATATATATATATAAGAGCCCCTTATTTGGGGGGCCTGAGCGGCTGAGCCATCACCCATCTTGCACCGGCCCAAACCCATCACCAAGATCGAGGTAGGAATGATGTCACTACTCTAAATCTCTAATACCTCATTCTATCTTTTATAATTCCTTAATAGACTCGATTGTTTTATAGTAAATAATTTCAACACATATACTCTATATGTTATATTTTTCCACCAACATATGCAATCAACTAACTAGTTGCATAAGCTAACATTAATAGTTTATCAATAAACAACCATTAAACTGTCTAGTAGGTGTAGAAAAATTTGTAGCAAATCATCTCAAATTAGCACGAAAAACGCTTAACGTGTCTAAAACAATTGTAATGAATTGCAAAATTAGAGTACTAGTAGCAATTTAGCAAAGTTATATAACTCCTAAGAATTATACCCAATTGATAAAAAGTAATCAATTAGAAAAATTTCTTCTTGGTCAAAATTAAATGTAAAATTTAACCAAGCAGGGAATAAAGCTAAGCTAGTACTTCGTATAATTTAAATTAGAACGAAAGATTAAATTTTTAATAAGATTATAAGACAAAAACAAATTAAGGGCAATGTTAATTATTTATACATGAAATTAAAATAACAATTAAATAAGGAGGCTTCAAAAATGAAATAATAAGAAAGAGAAATGAAACCTGGAACATTAATTTTGAAGAAATGAGCATTAGGAGATTCAAACCAGTCCAAAAGAGCAGTGGAAGCAGACCATTCACGATACATTGGAGGACTCCATATTATGCTCCTAAATGGCTCGCCAAATAATCCCTTTCCCATTTAATTTTTTTTATTTTAAATTTTGTATAAACTTCTCTATCCTACTCCGCCTTTAATATGGTATAATTATGTAGGTGATGTAACATAAACCATGGCCTAGAAGGTTCTGCATGGCCATATGCTGCTTCCAAATCTTTCTAGAGAATGACGTATTTTACCACACTCTTCCGTAGGATCAGCCAGCTAACCTTTTGTATTAGCACACACGTTTAATTTATTTGTCGGTTCTAAATCACTCACAACTTCTAACGCATTACGCGTACCATAATTATTCATGTACGGGTGCTATTTTGATTTCACCTTCTGTCACAACTTTATTTGTTGGCAGTAAGAGAAAAAATTTGTAAATTAATTAAAGGGTGTAAATGTCATCACACTATTTTTAAGAATTAAGAAAAATAAAAAAATTTAACATTAATAAAAGCAAATATGTAAATAAACATTTTAAAGAGTATATTTGTCTAAACATTATTCATAAGAGATATCTTAAACTTTAGCTTATTTAAAAGTTTAGAAGTGAGAATTGTTATTAATGTAGAAAAAGCCTAAGCTTGATGTCTTAAAACTAGTTGAAATTAACTTACAAATTATAAAATTATACTTTTTCTGTCCCTAAATAATCTAGCCTTATTACATTTTATGTGATCTTAAACGATGTACCCTTTTTTTTTAACCATTTATGGGTACCATGAAATTACCCTTTTATCCTCATTTTTCCTATCTTTGTTAGGCGATCTTCTTAAATTACCCACCATTATTAAGCTTTCTCATGTGAATATAACTTTCCTATGTACTTCTACCAGTTCTACTGCTTTTTCTCTCTCTACTCTTAGTATCATGTTTGTGAATTTAGCTTTTCGATGTAGGTTTACTACTTCCTTCTTCCCTTTCTTAATAGCGTGATATTTTAGAAAAGGGTAGATCATTTAGAGACGGGGGTGATAAATTGGAAACAAATTTATTTGTATGGTTTTTGATATTGCAAAAATTTCAAACTGGATGTAATCCCCAAAATGTGTAATCAAAGCTTGATCTTGCAATTCTCGGACAATTCTTTGATATAGTTACAAAATTTCCTATATTTTATTTGATTTCTTTTTTCCCTTTTCTTTTTAAAAAAATAAAATCTTTTTGGCTTTTATTTGATTTTAGTAGAGTTTTAAAAATATTTAAAATATAAAAAACGATAGATAAATGTTACGGAGTACAAAAACAAAAATAATCTTAAATACGATATACTTACTCCGGAAAGAAAAAATGGTTAAAGGTTGCCGCTTACTAACTTTTATACCAATCTGTCACTATTTACTAACTTTTATACCAATATGTCACAAGAGTGCTAATTTTTATACCAATTTCGTTAACCGGCCTTTACAAAAATTGTTTTCAATACTTTACCAACCAAATAATGGAATATAGGATAATTAATTTTATAAGATTAATTTTATCCCTAAAGATGGATCCTAAACTATAATTTTTAGCATCTAGTTTCACTTCACTTTATAGGTCCTAGAGTTACTATGACTCCAGGCTATGAACAAGTAAAAATCTATCATATTTTCATTAGAAGAAAAGCTTATACAGAAAAGAACTAGTCTCCTTTTCTGACCATTGTCAAAAAATAAAAAAATAAAAAATAAAAAATAAAAAATAAAAAATAAAACTGAAACAGTAAAATATATAGAAGACACGCCATTTTTTAAGCAACAGAATGATTCTACTTCACCTATGGCAAGTGTTGGAAATTTAAAGCCACAGGACAACCAGAAGTCAGTGGTAAAAAACCTTCACTAAAAGATACTTCATTTGTTCTTTTTTACTTGACCTGTTTCTTTTATCATGTTTGTCAATGCAAAATTTAATTATCAATAACTTTAATACTCCATAAGTAAAAATTATAAAAGTTATATATTATGATAGTACTTATTAAGACGAATTCAAAAAGATCCAACATGAATATGTTTTTCCTTACATATTATTTACAAAAGACGGTCAAAGAAGAGGTGATAAATAGTGTAAAAGTCAAAGCGGGTCAAGTGAAAAAGAACGGAGAAAGTATAACAGAAAATACATTTGTTCCAAACAAGGCTCTAGAAGGTGTTGATCATTCGGGTATACATGATATGCTGGTTGGTTGGGGAAGGGATTCTCACATGTGAAAGATACTTGAAATTATATACGGAATAAATTTATAAAAATCAAAATAATCCTAATAATAACTCTAGTTTGATTACTTGCTTTCTTCTGAAACATTAGACATACCTCTTGGGATGAGGGCTTCCTAATGGTGAAAAAGCGAGCGAGAGAGAGAGAGCGAGAGAGAGTAATCAAATTGATCAACAATACTTAAGACCTTCATATGACTAAATTTTCTGAATGTTAACCCAGAAACATTACATAAGACCCTGGCTTACTGATCACAGGGGAGGGGGTAATTCATAATTCCATCTTTGCCTTTTTCCTTGCCAGGAAACGTTCTTTGGCAGCTGCGAGAGCTTCCTGACTTTTCTTATGATGGTCCTGCTTAGGCTTATCAGTGGGAGGTGGTGGGATGTCTTCTGCAGATGTATTAGGAGAAGGTGCCAGGTTTGCAGCTGGCTCTGGCCTAACCTCAGGAGCAACAGCTGCTTCTCCTTGATGTCTATCATCCAATCTTGATGGGGAGACCACCGCAGAGCTGGTGGATGGATTTCCCACAGCTCTAACATTTAAGTCTGCTTCTTTCTCTGACTTCTCCGGTTTTTTTAGCTCTTCTATGGCAGCTGCTGGTTCCTTGTCCCCTCTCCCTGGCTTTTTGGACTTTTCTTCCGCTCCAAATGCAACATTTTTTGCTAAATTGAAGTAAAAATCTGTGAGGTCGCTCTTCTTGGTCACCTGCAAAATTCAGAAGGCAGCCAATATTAATACTACTACAAGCCTAGCACATTTAATACTAGCGTAATAATGTAAACACGTAGAACAACATGTCAACATGATAACAATCACATCTTTCTTGCTCCAAATAAATCCCATTATAGAACACTACATCCTCCTCATCTCCCCTACCCCTCGTCTGTTATGTCACAATCGCTCAACACATAAGATCGTTTATTTTTGTCATTACATATTTTCTTTGTATGTTCACCTTCCGACATCGAGGGAATAGAGAAGGATCAAAAAGAGGAGGAAAGGCTTTAAAAACATTCAAACCGAAGAAGAGAGAAGAATCTCATGGCCTCGTGGTGGAATTCATATTACCACATGTATAGTAGTTAATTTATATATAAAGGGGGTAATCATGCTATTTCAAATTTGTTTGTTCTAATAAAATAGGATTTTCTGGTTAATGTTGACTTATATTCACCTTAAGGGCATGCTTTGATAAGGTTAATACATTAAAAGGTTAAAAAAAAATAAAAAAAAAAAAAAAAAAAAGGTCTAACCAAAGAAAATGAAGGTGATTCTAGGTAGTTGTGAGGAAATTTGAGGTAGTGATGGTGTGATTGCTAGGAAAAATATATAATGATGAGGGAGGGAGAGGAAACTAACCCTCATTTTGAAGGTAATATTATGCTAGTGTGGTGGTCAATAACTATTACCTCTAGTATGAGGGTAATAATCTCCCCATCTCTCTTTTCCCCATACCACCACTAACATCTTTCTTTTATCAATACCTCATCTTCTTTAGCTTCATCTCCATATCCATTCATTTTTCTTGGTTCGACTATTTTTACCCCCATAATATATTACCTTCAATCCACGTATGCCCTTAATACTAAAACAACCCCGTCATAATTATAAAGATTTGATAATACGGCTATTTCATCAAATGCCACTAATCACTTTAATAATTCACCAAATGTCATCAAGGTTTTCAAAATTCACCAAATACCACCGAATTTTAAAAAAATTCACCGAGTGCCATTAATGACTGACGGTCGTTAGTTGGCCGTCGGGGTGTCCGATAGTTGACCGTTAGTTGACCCCACCACTTGCCACGTGTCACCTTGTGATTCGTCCGTTTTTTTAAAAAAAATAAACAAAAATTAAAAAAAAAACCAAAAATATTATAAAAAATAATAAAAAAAAAAAACCACCAAATCCCCACCCACCACCCCTTCTACCACCCTCGCCCGCGGGCCCCCCACCCCACCCTAAACCCCTCCCTGCCGCCGAAGACCGAAGTTCCTGCCGCCGGCGACCCTCACCAACAGGCGTGCCCGGCGGCCCCGCGCCTTCCTCATTCCCTCTCCGTCATCTTTCCACCACCATTAAAACACACGTTCAAGCTCAAAGGCAAGAACACAACATGCTCATTTCTTCACCATTTTCTACAAAATTACTATCAAAATGCTCGCAATCAAGAATGCAACAACATGGGACAAACAATTTCATCAAACAAGCATCACACGAGAAAGCCCCAAATTGATTTTGCAAAGGGGGTTTTCGAATTTTTCACAAATTTGCATGAAATTCGACAATAAAGCAAGGATTATACATAGAAATACTTGCATTGCAATGAGAAGAAGAAATTACACACAAAAAAACCAGCAGAATTCAAGCCAAAAAACGAGCACCCAAGAATCGAAAAGGGGTTTCGGGTTGTGTGGGTGGGTGGCCCGAAACGAAAAGGGAAGGGGAAGGGTGTTTTGGGTGGGGTGGCCGGAAATCGAAAAGGGGAGGGGAATGGGGTATTGGGTGGGGTTGCCGACTTTTTTTTTTTGTTTTTTTTTTTTTTTGGTTATTTTTAGGATTTTTAAAAACTGAACCAATCATATCATGACATGTGTCATGATTAAACCCTAATGACTAACGGAGTTAACGGCCATCAGTTATTAATGGCACTCGGTGAATTTTTTTAAAACTCGGTGGCATTTGGTGAATTTTGAAAACCTTGATGGCATTTGGTGAATTATTAAAGTGCTCGGTGTCATTTGGTGAAATAGCCGTTGATAATATTATGTTTATGTGATGAAAGAATAGTTTGTCAACTAAAAAAAAAGGCAACTAATGTGAAAATATATAAAATATATATATATAAGAAAAGAGTAGGATTCCAAACCAACTACTACAAAAAATTTACAGCTTCAACTAGCGGTGGCCACAATATTTCCATTATACCCATTACAAGTGGCCGACGCAACCACCAGTCCTTTTTTGAATTCTTTCCTTTCTAAATTACACCAAAAAATATAAAGTATGAGCTTAGCAATATTTGAAATCTTATTCTTATGCTGAAGTTCAAATTTGGCTAGTTACATCTAGAGATGTCAACCGATTGTTCAACAGAGATTGGGTCATGTTCAAGCAAAAAGACTTTTGGTTTGAGTTTGGTTATATGTACCGTATATTTCCAATTTTCCATTCAAGCCATCCAATCTCGAGTTCAATTCCGGTATCGGTGAGGTCAATTTAAATTGAGTCCCGGGTATGAGATGGATTATTCAGGTCAAATCATAGCTTTTATGGAAAGACAAACCATGATAGCAAGTTTTGACGTCCATGTCTCATTAGTACTGAATTGTTATTTAGTACTTCTCATCCTACACAACCAATGTCACTAATCACACAAGCGAGCTAGACTCCAGAGAGTTGGGATCTTGGGTTAGCTTACGTGAACTGACCTACAATAGGATGCCTACATAAAACTAAACATTCTTCATCTATCATCATGTATGGTGTCAATCCCTCATTCAAATTTAAAATGAAAAGGTCTGCTTTGATGACAAGGCAGGTGATTTATTGAAGAAGCTACATGAGCTAGTTAAAGCCTAAATCAAGAAGTGAATGAAGCATGCACACAAGAATTGCAAAGAATCATAAATAACCAGAATCCAGGGCAACTAGTCAGATACACCATTAAAAGGACAAGAAGGAACAAGCTTACACCTCACATCAACAATGGGCTTCTGAGACCATCAAGAAGGCGAGTTGTATATAACACTTAGAATATTCCTAATATTCAAAATTGCTAACTGATAATCATTCTTCGTACATTGATGATGAGATAATTAAAGAATTAAGGTCAATTTTCATCCAATGAAAGGGAAGATGCAGGCGCAAGTTGAGATTACTCATGTCAATTGCATACTGTATAGCTGTACAAGCAAAGACCCTTGACCACTATTTTATCCTAATATTATATCCTAACGATTAGCACAGGCATGTTAACAATTTGCTCCCACTACCGAGTTTACACTTATTAGGTGTCCCCCCCGTCCCCCCCCCCCCCCCCTCTCCCTCCAACTACATACCTCCGTATTTTATTCCAATTTTTTTTTTGGTAGGTAAGAAGAAGGTGCCATACCCAGAGCCTTTCACAAGTCAACAAGCAAGGCATCTTGGGAGTGGGGCGGAAGGGTAAGGAAATTCCCACCCCTAAGTTGCGTTTAGTGGGAATTAATCCCACAACCTTATAGTTGCGGTAACAATCTCCACCAGACTACCTCCATATGTTAGTTGAAACATTGACTTTTTGCACTATTTTACACTCTCATCTGATCGCCATTCATGAGTTATGTACAATTGTATGCAAGGAAAAAACTAGTTAAGTAAAAGTTCGCCCCAATATATAATTTCAAAACAATCATTTTGTTTTCATATGATTTTTGTTAATTGATAATTAGTGATATTAAAGATTAAACTTATACATTAGCAAGCGTAAATAAAAAAAAACGTGGAATTAGAAAGAAACAAATGAACTATATAATTACTTGTAACAATTTACCACCTATTACGTGGATAACTACCAATCACATCCCATAAAAGAAGAAAGACCCACGATTGCTTGTAGTCTATGTTTAATTCACCTTATGTAAATACCTTATTACTTATTTCACATCAGATCATATTAGATAAATAAAAAATAAGCTAGATCATACTTTATCGTTTAATGTGCAATTTTTTATCACTAAATATCTTTAATACCATAATGAAAATATTTATGAAAATTATATAATTAGAATATACACATTAATACAATCTAATAAGACCCAATTTGATTTTTTATTTTTTATTATGGATTAGCATACATAAAAGATCAAAGTTTTAAAAAATCAGGCAATCAGATTAGAAAAAATAAGTTAGAAATAAACATAGCCTTACTTAGTACCTACCCCACTACATTCCCATATCCATATTGTAATAATATAGCTTACAATAGCAAGTTATATTTAGTCACTTGTTTAATGTAATTCCATAAATAATGCACTTTAACCTAAGCTATTATGAGTCAGCTAATAATTGATGGTTTCTTCTACATTTAAACAAATAAATCCATATGAAGTTATGCTCCATCTCTTTTTGTTGTTCTTGTTTTCCTTTATGTGCGTACCAAAATTTTGTTTTGATTTAAATCTTCCTTCCTCGTCTTACTTTTTGTCCCTAAATTACCTTAAGAATTTTAAATACCCGCAATATTACCCTTATTTTGTACTCCCTCTGTTTTTTTAAGTGCCCCATATCCTTGGGCATATAGTTTTAAGCAAAAGAATAAAATAATATATGGGTGGGTATGGTTAGGAATAAAAAATTTGGAAAAGTAAGAGAGAGAAATGTGAATGGGGACCACTAGAAATAATGTGAGAAGGAGAAAATATTTTAAAATGGTAGTGGGGTTAAAAGGAAGAGAGAGAAATAGTATATAATGTGAGTGGGGTTTCCACTTTTAGTAATGGGGCACTTAAAAAACAACAGTCGTTTTAGGAAAGTGGGGCACTTAAAAAAAAACAGAGAGGGAATACAAAAGTTGGCCACCATTAATCTATATTCAATTACCTTGTCCATTCAGCAATTACCATCCATACTCAATTACCATTTTCTTTTTCTATTCCATTCATCAATTTTCACAAGTACTCAATTAATACTTTTTCTTTTTTCAACTTCCAAAACAAAATATTGCAATTTTCTTAATCTACGTATTAAAAAAAAAAAAAAAAACAAACAAACAAACAAACAAGAACAACAAAAAAAGACAGAGGGAGTATTATAACTAATGAATGACTTATGTTACTATGTACATTAAAGCTTACTCCCTATGTATAAGAATTATCGCAACACCAGCCTTTGCAAAGAGATTTAAGAGATATAGCTTGTGGGTCACTTGTGCTATTTTATTATAAAGTTTGGTGTGATAAGAGGTAGCAGGGCATTGGTAATGTTATTTCAACGAGGAAGTAGATGTAAAATGAGATAGTGGAGCTAAAGAGTGATTAGGTATTAAAATAAAATGTGGTCCTTTTCTTTGAAGGAAGTGTTGAAATTACTTTGGGACAAAAGAAGTTTTGGTCACATGGGTAGGTCAAAAGGAGTGTGGGTATGCTTCAATTCAATAGTAAATATTAACTAAAATAAACTATTAAGCTTCTTCTTCTGCATTCTATGAGATAAGTCATCTTGCTCCCATATTCATTTTGAGAGTGATAAATTAAGCTAAGTCAAAATTTATACAGGCCATATAAAAACACTACAAAGATCTAAAAGCAGAGACAAAAACTTACATTATCTTTCTCTTCACGCAGCTCACGCAAGCGTTCTTCCTCCATCCATCTTGCCTGCTCAGCAAGCTTCCTTTTGTAAGCTCCAGTAACAAACTTGTCTTTATCGGCATAAAGGTGGTCATCTTTGCTTCTTTCTTTTGCAAGTTTCCTCTCATAAACAACCTCATGTTCTTTTTCTCTTTTTTTGGCTTTTTCCATCAGCGCTTGAATGTATTTTGGCTGAAACATTCATATTTATTGCATAAGAAGAATAATCAAAGATGGAAATTCTATTGCCCAAGAACATAGAAGTAACATGTCCATACAAGAAGTTACTTAATAAAGAGAAGACGAGCATTAGTTGGGAAAGAGAGACAATTAAATGGTGAGATAACAATAGATTAATAGAGGGAAGAGAATTTTCTTACAAATTGTAAATCTTGAAAGATAAAAGCAATCAACATTAAATTACATGAATGAAAGTGTGAGTATAGGCTGTGGGAACAACATTGAGAACTAAATTCTCAAAGGCCACGTTTTCAAGTCAAACAATGCTATTGCTAATTTGCTAAAAGAACACATGTTCGACCAAAAGCCTAGAAACAACACAAATAAATCAAAAGGACTGGCAGCAATGTTGTGATGAAAAGTTAAACAGATAACTTCACTGCCAACAGTTAAGAGGTCATTCGGGAATGATTATCTTACAATTTTTGAAAAATCTACAATGGGTTACTCAAACCCTCCTCACAAAACTCTCTCCTATATTGAGCTAGCTCACCATTGTGATAGGTGACTCGTGAGTAGCTTTTGTGGTGAGGCCCCTCCGTCTTCCAAGTCATTGACCGCCTCGGCACACGAGCCCAGTGACAAACAAGAAGATGACAAGTGGCAAAAAATTTGCATTTTCATTTATTTTTTTGCCCAAATTTAGCATAAAACACTTGTTTTAATTGTAGTGAGCTAGTTCACCATTATGGAAAAAATAAGAGGGAGACTCATAATAGTGACTCAAGTTAGTGGAATATGATGTGGAAGAGTTGAAAGAGAAGGGAGAGTTATATGTAACTGTGAGCTACTCCACCAATTTGGACGTTCTAAAGCAGCTCACATGCTGATTTCAAAGTGAAACCATCTTAAACTATTTTTTCATTCTAGAATAACACCCTCATAAGTCCCAGCAACAGAGCATGAAACACAATTATTCTGCAGTCAGCAACTTAGTTTTACCTTCCTCTCCATCTTTCTTCATTTTTGAGAATTCAAGATTATTTCCATGCATTTTTCATTTTCAAGATCAAACACCCATCTCCATCTCAAATTATATTTTGAAATATTTGCGACCTACCGTTTTTGCTGATTATTTTCAGTCTACCAGGAGTACACGACTAATTGACTACCACCAATGGCTGGCCATGCAACCACCTTTGTCACTGAGAAATGCAATACTCCAGGGAATTATCTCATTCCTGAAACAGATCCCAAAACCCCTACAATTTGTCACCTACTTTGGGTTCTCACACAATGGGAGCGTTGTTTAACAGATCGAAATAAGTTCAAATCAGAAATGCTAATAAAAGCATGGGGAGATGTCTAAATCAATGTTTGTACGTTTGCGATTTAGGTTCATGCTTCTTCGCCACTATCTTTCTTGGTTATGTACTCGAATGCATACAAGAATGTTTTCCTTGAATTTTTTTATTATTATTTAAATACAACTAGAAGTGCCAAAGAGGAACAGTAGCTCAATTCCGCACTGCTGCTGAGTCGTCGCCTAAACTGTGAGCTTGTAGTAGTTTTGAGAAAAAAATGACAGCTTAAAATTTCAATTAGTTGTTGGTCTCTAAAAAACTAAAAACTGAAAATTACGAAAGACACCAAACAGACCCTAAGTAATCAACACAATGATAGCACTAATCAACAAACTCCCTACTTAATGTCAAACAACCTCGACGAGATGCATCCAACAAAGATGTGTGTCCTAGTGTTGAGCTAGACCATTATCTGAGGAAAAAAATAAGACTATTTACAGTATAATAGTGCACATGGAAATGTGCCCACACCTTTTGCTGAATTGCAAAGCATCAAACCAAGAATTCAAGGGAAAACCAAAGTTCATTTATAATAGCTACAAATACCTATAAATAGTTACTTATTAAAACAAATAAAAATATAGTATGCATAACCAAATACTTAACCACCCACAAAATATTTTATCATCTTGTTATACTATCAATTAAGGTTTAAAACTATCAATTAAGGTTCAAAATCAAGCAAATGAAATCAAAATCAACAAATAAACTGACCGAGTTAAACTAAATACCTGACGCTGTTGTCTATCCTCGGCTTTTGGCTTAACAATTTTCGCTTTCATATCATCATAAACACCATCATAATCAAACACTGAAGGATCTTCTTCTAATGCTTTCTTGTACTGGTCCTCAACCTACAAACAAATTTAACAAATTACATCATTAATATCACTTCCAAGTTCAAAAAATCGCTAAACCCAGAAATAAATTGAGGGAAAAAGAGAGAAATCTGACATCTTTTAGGGACTTGTTCTTAAAAGCTTGACGGGAAATTTCTTTCTCGACATCATCGTCATCGTCATCGTTGAAAGCAAGGGGTTTGGGGGGTAATGATCTAGCTTGCTGCTGTTTTTGCTGGGATTTTGGAACCCTAATTTGCAAACCGTACTTGTTTGATTGCATTGTTCACTAATCCACCTTAGAAGGACCCTAAATTGAATACACTGACAATTAAATTCACAATGAACCCTAGATTGAGAAGTTGATGTTGGACGATTTTTGTATAGGGGAGCTTCAATGGAGGAGAGGAAGCTCGGAAGCTGCTTCAATGGAGGAGAGCGAGGGGTGTAGCCGTGTAGGCTGTGCAGCGAAATAAAGAAAAAAAAAATGTGAAACGATTAAAAAAAAAAAAAAAAAAAAAAAAAGGAAAAATACTATACAGTTACATATAAGCATTAAATACAAACTAGAAAATGGTATAAGTTAAAATCATAAAAATAAAAACACTTATTACACTGATTTACAAGAGTGTATTTAATGCTTATATATAGCCCCTAGCATTATCCAAAAACAAAAACGAAATTTTGTCAAAATCTAAATTTAAACGCGTGTTTTGGAAACAACTACCTTTTAATTTTTTTTTCAAACAACTATCACAAACTTGCAAAAAGTTAGAGTAGCTCTACCACTCTTACATTTTCGGTTAGAATCTCCGATAAGTGGGTCCCATTTATACCTTTCCCTCCAATATTTGTTTCTCTCTCCTCTATATAACTGTTTTTTTTTTTTTTAACAACAGAGCTCCTAAAAAAAATTATTGAGCAAATTTCTTCCTTTTTTCAACAATTGAGTAAAAGCAAGCATTTCTAGAACATTACTTTAGGTAATTGTATATAAATTTGAGTCAATTTGAGAATATTATATGCGAATTAGGGTTCTTGGTGACTTGCAATTGGGGAAATTGGGGAAATTAGATTTTTTGCAATTTTGTGCGATTTAGGTAAATTGAATGGAATTATCCAAATTAGGGTTAATTAATTAGTTGTTTTCTATATATTTGCAGGACTTTTGCGAATTGAATCATGTCCAATTCATCCTATGATTTAGCTCGTCCTTAAATTTTCCTCCCAAATGCTATTGTGGAATCCTCCCCCAAAGTCGAGACTTCTTGGACAGCACCAATCCTAGAAGAAGGTTTGTTGCCTGTAAGTTTTATGATGCCTATACTGGTAGGCGTGGATGCAAGTTTTTTGAATGGATTGATGAAGAGATTGTGGAATGCCAAAGGATCATAACCAACCAGCTTGTGTTGGAGAAGAAGTTGATGAAGGCTAAAATTGCTAATTTGAAGCAAGAGGTTTGTTTGCTGCAAGATCAAAAAGCAAGATTGGTTGAGCAAACTGAAAAATTAAGCAAGAAATTGAAAGGTTCGCATCCTTAGAATTGAAGAAATCAAGTTCCCCTACCAAACCAGGCTGCATGACAGTGGGTTTCTATGTTGTATTTGGGATGATGATTATGTACCTAGCATTTCTTTTTATGTTTTGAGTTGCTGTACTTAGTTAATGCACAATCAGTAAATGCCACTAATTTTGTTATAAGTACTGTGGAAGTGGCATACTTCAAATGATATGTGCATGTTTGGTTGTAATTGATGATGATTATGAAATGAAAATGCAATGTTCTATTTTGTAAATAAAAGTTCAATCATATAACACAAATCTGAGAATTGTTTTAGGCCAAATGACCACAAAAGCTCATAACTGTTTTAGGCAAAATGACACCAAACTTAATTACATCATTGTTTGCAAAATAAGCAAAAACTTTCTCGGTGCTATCACTATTATATAAAACTACAGAACTTAATACTAACAGACACCAACTAACTAAACTAAGCCTAAACTATCAAGGCTTCCAAGCTGCTTGCTTTTTCTTTATGGACTTGACATGTAGCTTTGATTTGGGAGGCTGCTTTGTCTTTGGAGGCTACTTTGTTTTGGCAAGTTGTTTACCCTTTCCTTTTGCTGAAGCCTGGGAGGAAGGTTGTGCTGGATCAGCAGTGACATTAGAAGACCCTGCCTGACTGCATTGGGGATTCATGGTTTGAGTCACACTGCAGCTGGTACATCCTGCACCAACAAGGTATACATAAACACCATATTCAAAACCAAATGCATAAGTGTTAAAACCAAATACCATAGTTTGTCTTACCTGTCTCAAAACCTTTCCATTTTGTTCTTCCTTCTTGGGACAGCCCAAGCATCACTTAATGGAGGCCTTCCACCTTTGTCTAGTGATTTAGGAGCAAGAGGGTTTTTGCATTTGTTTTTGTAATGGCCAGCAACTCCACAGTTTGAGCATTTTGTTTTTTCGGCCTCTTGATGAACCTTGACTCTTATCCCTCTCCTGGATCCTTTCTTCTCTTTTTCAAGGAGGGTTTCCCTGGCATTTTCTTCATCAGATAGAGGTGGCAAAGGCTGAACCATCTTGGAGGTCTCCTATTACTTTATTCTAGGCATGGGTTTGATTGATGGGGTATAAGCTTCCAAGTATGTTTGATTTGTGTAGCATTCATGGACATAATCTTCAGGCTTAAGTCTGTTTTTGACAATACAAGCGCATGCATGAGGACATGGAATACCGGTCAACTCCCAATGAAAGCATGTGCAGGTATTGTCATTTAGGTTGACCACATACCTATCACAGTCATAATCAACCTCCCAAACATCTAATCTAGATGGCACAACAGTACACTAAGCTGCATACGATGAAATCTATTTAAAAAACTTAGTGACATAAGGCATAAACCTCACCTCTTGAGCTTGAACTGCCTCCCACTTCTCTGTGTTCCTTCTCATAACATATACCTTCTGATCCATTCAAAGCATGCTATCATAGGCTTATTTCTAGCATCTCTAATCACAACATTAAATTCTCATAGAGGTTATTGAGTAGCATGTTTGACTTAAAGAAAGGGTTGAAATCATGCCTTGCCCAATGCTGTGGTGGGATAGCATTTAAGTAGTTGAATCATCCTGATCTAAAAGCCTTATGCATTCTAGTTGAGCATAAAAATCAGCCTAATCCAAATATGTACACAAGCCACACAATATCACCATCACACACATATGACTTTATAAGCACATAAATAATTCTAGAAATGCTAGTACAAAGACACTACCTTATTTATTGACCTTGCTTCCTTCCAAAACATCTCCTTGAAAGTATCACCATGGAATTTGAGCTTGAAATTAGCCCATATGTGTTTGGCACAAAGCCTTACTTTTGCCTTTGAAGCCACCAATGCAATAGCTTCTATCAGCCCCTGTTTGTATATGCATGTACATGCCAAAGTCAGATCATTAAGTAATTAAAGAATGAAAAATCAAATAACATCAACACCATTACCTTTTGCCTGTTTGACATTAATGTCACTCCATGGCCATCTTCAAAACCTGTGTCCTTCATCAGCAACTCTAAGAACCAAGTCCAGTTGTCCTTGTTCTCAACCTCCATAATAGCCCAGACAACTGGGAATATATTATTATTCCCATTCTTACTCACTGCAATCAAAATCTGGCTAGGAAAAGCACCTTTCAGGTGACAACCATCAACACCTAGCAATGGCCTACAACCCCTTTTAAATCCCACTTTGCAAGCCTTGAAGCACACATAATTCTTTGAAAATAAGGGGGAGGTCTCTCAATTCCTTCAATCACAACTATAACACTTGAACCAGGGTTGTATTTTAGGATTGCATACCCATAGTAAAAAATCCTAGCATACTCTTCTGATGCATCTCTATACAGTATCAGTTTTTCTCTAGTCCTAGCATACCAAGCTTTGTAATAACTGATATGTATGCCTAAATCTTTGTACACCCTATCCTTAAACCTAGCCAACTTCCAAGTGGGATCTGACCTCCAATCATCGAGGTACTTCAATGCTAAATACTCTGAGTTCACTTTTGAATTTGCATGAAAAAACCCACAAGTATGTTTCAGGTTCATGGTCTTCACTTGAAGAGTGGATTCACCTTTCCACTGTCTTAAATAAATCCTAAAATTCCACTTGTTTTCAGCATTACACTTACACTCTTTCAATTTCCCACGTTTCTTATCCCATGGACATTTACACCTATTCCTACAATATGCAGTGACCCTATTGCTACTATTATGCAACAAATAGTAATCATAATTATTCTCAATGCTGTGATTCCTAATTGCCTTTCTAATTGCATAAACATTTGGAAATTTCAAACCAATTCTAATGTTAATTTTGCTCTTAAAATCTACCTAAGGATTGAAGGTTGGGTATGGATCTACCTCATCATCAGATCCATGTAGACTTATCAGCTCCTCTGAATCTGTAACACCCCAATAATTCTCTCTTAAAAACCTGTAAATACCTCTAACAATTTGCAAGAGAATTACTGATGTGCTACCGCCACGTGTTCAAACGTTAAGGCTAGTTCAGAAGTTAGCAGCGGAAAAACTAACTCAGTTATCAATAAGTTTCAAAACCAAAAACAAAACCAAATTTAGTCTTACAAGTTAGAACCATTAAGGCCCTTATTCAAAACCCAATAAAAGTAGTAAATAAATCAAACTAGAGTTTAATTAAATCCAAACTTATGAAATGAAATAAACTGTGGAAATATCCAACACTCCACTCAAAATTCCACCACCTTGATGCAAGTTTTGATTATGTAAAACAATGTGATTAATCTTCTCCCCAATATTACAAGTGTAAAAATTGGATCATTACAGGGTCATTGTAAAGGCGAAGGCCATGACCAGGAAAAATACACACAAAAGCACGCAATCAGCAACGCTGAGTACATACAAGCTACGAAATATAACAAAGAATCCTTAGCATGTTACTAAAAATCAATCAGCACAGAGAATCTAATTATTAACTCAAACACACGCCTCAACTATTAACATTACTAAGACTTCACTAATTACTAATAATAATTCATTTCATTTCATTCATTGATTGGATTAAGCAATAGACAAGGTTGTCTCCCTATGCTCCGTTTCGGAACATCAATAAAAGAAAAACCCCATGCCTCCTTTCGGAAACATCAATAAACATCCAATGGCAAACGTGGCCATAGCTAGTATGAAATCTCATCTAACTCCTTATAGTTTTTAAAAAAAAGCATTTGTAAACAAGAGACCCGTAGATTAGATGGCCTCTAGAAAGTACACGGCTAATACCCCGTGAACCCCAATCTCTGATTGTCAATACTCTAGATGTGCACAAATCCAGAGTTTTATTGCTCATCCATCTTGCACTTTACGTGATTTACAAGTTTAAACTTGGTGATGACTCAAATGCAAAACAATACAACCAAACATACATCAATCATTCAAACAATTCAAATTTCCAATTCA